ACCCAAATTTAGGGCAGGCTAAATAAAGAATTGTGCCTCTGAAAGAGTTGAAGATGTTATGTAGTCATACATGCCTGCCCATGCTCATAGCAGCACAATTCACAGTAACTCAGTCTCAGAAGTGGCTCATATGTCCCATTGGCAGATGAAGGGATGGAGGAAATGTGGAATTTCAATGCCGTGGAGCATTACCCTGCCACGAAGAAGGGTAAACTTGAGTCACCTGTGGGAAAATGGATCCACCGTAAGACCGTGATGTTAAGCGAAATAAATCAGACCCACCAGCTTATCTTACAGGAGTAAAGAGTACAATAAAAGGCAGTGATAGGAAACAGGGAGAAAGATCTTTCTCCAAAGGGAAGGCATCACGGGATGAAGGGAGGGAAGAGGAAGAGGAGAAAAAGAGGATGAAAAAAGAAACCTTACAATGTATATTAAGATTTTAAAAAATTATAATCTGCAAAATGGAATGTGATGTCTCTGAACTGTCTCTCTCTCTCTCTCTCTCTCTCTTTCTCACACACACACACACAATCACTGTTTATTTAAAAAGGATTAAAAATAGTTTGACTGCCCTTCTTCAAAATATCCCGATATCCCATCAAAATAACAAGTACACACAACCCTTCGCCCCAGCAATTTTGTTTTCAGATGTAGTTGCCAATTTTCACAATGTGTCTACAAGCTGTAACTGCTACTGCAGTTATGTTGGGAAAATATAAGTCTGGAAAGCCTTTTAACATTTAATTTCATCTTGAGACATATTCTCACTAAGTTGCCAAGGCTGGCTTTAAGTGTGGTGATCCTCCTGCCTCAGCCTACTTAGTAGTTGAGATTAGAGGTAAGCACCATTGGACCTGGCTGGAAAGCTTTTAAATGCCCAACAGTGGGAGCTCAGTTAGAGAAATCATGGTTTAATCCCCACAGGGAACTATTAGACAGCCATTAATAAGAGGAAAAGAAGAAGCAACTCTGAAGTACACAGCTAAAGGAAAAGTTAAGGCACACCAGTGAGTCCAGTGTGTGCCGTTGCATGGAAAAACAGGGAGAGAGTCCTCAGGGAAGCGATTCCCACAGGTGCCCTGGGCTGGGGAAGGGAGATGCTTGTGCCACCAGCAGGAGGCAGACTTTTCACTCTTTGTACTTTTGTAGCTTTGAAACGTGGACCATACAAATTTTTTCCTTTAAAAATTTCTTTTTAATCACATTCCGGTGCGGCGGTGCACGCCTTCTCAGGAGGCTGAGGCAGGAGGAGCAAAGGGTCAGTCTGTGCGACTTAGCAAGATCTTATCTCAAAAAAATAAAATGAAGAAAGGGCTGATTGTACAGCTCGGTTGTAGAATGTTCCTGGGTTCAATCCCCCATACACTAAACTAATAAAAACCAAACCAATCAATAAGACTGCAAATAGTCAAAGAACATGAATCTGCCAGCAAGAGAAAAGTTGGCAAAAACAGAGTTGGCTGGCTGTCTAGGATGGCATGGCGGCTGGATGCTTTCACGCTTTTTCTCCTCTGCTCAGTCCACATTTCCTGCTTTCTCTAAAAGGGACATGAAGAAGGTTCTTCTGTAGGTTTTTTTTTTTTTTTTTTTTTTTTTTTTTTTTTTTTTAGTCAGGGTTTCACTATGTGGTCAAGACTGACCAGGAACTCGCTATGTAGCCCAGGTTGGTCTTGAACTCACTGCGATCCTCCTGCCTCAGCCTCTCGAGTGCTGGGATTACAGGCATGCACCACCATGCCCAGCTGTAGCTTTCTTTTAAAATAGTAAAGAAATAAGAATCCGACTTCCTCTTCCTCCTTGCCCTCCATGGTATGCATCCTTTGTACGTGGATTCAGTATCTCCGAAGTGGTCGTTGTGAAATGACTTGAGGTAGTGGAGCTGCAGGGAAAAGGCATGTAGAAGTGGTTCACAGGACTTGGGGTGGAATGAGGATTCCCACACAGAAGCCCAGGTTTGCGCAGAGGACGTGGCGCCTGGACCGGGTTGGCAAGGTGCGCTTGTGGGCTGATGACGGCTTCCCCTGCTGAGGGACCCGAGTGCCCAGTGGGCAAATGTGGGCAGGGGAGAAGCCATCAAGATCGCCTTTCAAGGATGCACAAACACGGACATCAGAGGTCACCGAGGACCAGGGAGAGATTCTGAGTCTCCCTTTGCCACAATAAGGGTGACAAAGAGAATTATTAACTGTGGCCGGGTACTCACTGGGAGAATCACGCCGTGTGTGTGGTCTCGTTTGACTTCATGAGCTTCTATGAGGATGAAAGAGAAATCCCCTTGGTCAGTGGACAATGCTTGCAACTGCCATGGTTACACTCTGCACTGACTTGTCATTAGGTTCAATGTAAGATGTAGCTGGTATATAAATCCCACAGCTCTGTCCTGCTGGGTGGGTCAGCTCTGAGCTCTGTGGTCTACACTGGCTCCCAATGTTCCCAGTTTCCTGGTGTCACCTCCAAATAGACTGCTTATCCTTGAAACCCTGCCTCAGAATCTGCTTTTGCAGACCCAGCCTCGGACTGCCCTGTCTCCGTCCTAGGCCCTCTTTTAAAAACCTGCCTCTGTCTTTAGTCTTTTCTTGCATCGTAACTTCCCTCCGTAGAGCGTTTCATGGGCTTCGAGTCTCACACACATCTCTTCTTCAGCGCAGCTCCCCCAAGTCAGTGATTCAGTCACTGCACCTGCTCTCCTCTGAGATGTCCTGGGGCCACACGGTCGCTGATGGGCTCCGGGGAACAGATAGGATGGGAAGCCGACTGCCACGTGGGTTAGTCATTCACGGATCATGATTGGATGGCTCAAAGGAGGTGGGGCCTGGGCGAAGGCAGGCACCTGGGAGGCGTGACTGGGAGGCTCCATCCCTCCGCTCTATTCCCCGTGGCTTTTGCCCTCTTCCCTTCCTGGGTGCCATGAGGTGAGAAGCTGGGTTCTATGATGCCTGTCCGCCATGATTCAGCAATGGAGCCGGCTGGCCACGGCCTGGGACCTCGAAAACCATGAGCCCAAAGAAGTCCTTCCTCCTTTCACTGATAAGGAATCCGGCTCTGAGTGAAGCCAGTTCCTCAGTTCACACAAGCAAGGCGCAGAGCCCTGATCCAAAACTTCCCTGCCACATTTCTCTCCTGTCCGTTGCTCCGTTGTGCTTTCCCTTCTTTCATAGGAGCACCTTCTAGTTAGAGCTCACTTTACACTTTGTTCTGGATAATAGCTCATGCCAGCCTTGCAGCAGCTTGGTGATGACGCCATTAATATTCTGATCCTCTGCAGGAGAAGACTCGAGACTCACAGATCCAACATCACTGGGTCACTAAGAAGCCTTTTGAGGGCCGGGGATTTAGCTCAGTGGTTCCGGCCACTGCCTCGCAAGCGTAAGGACCTGAGTTCATCCCCGGTACCAAAAAAAGAGAAGCCTTTCGACTTCTGCTCCAGTCCCGGGGCCCCAGCACCCCACACCCATGCAAAGGGAATAGTTTTTCAGGTGTTCAGAAGCTAAATAAATAACAGGAGCGGGCTGGGCCGCGGCTCAGTGGTGAACACCTGGTGGTCACGTATGACGTTCGGGATTCTATCTCTAGTGCTGCAAAAACATTTTAAAAAAATTGTGGTGGTGGTGTCCGACGTGAAGCTGACCCATGTCACAACTTGGACTTAAAACAAGCCATGAGAACTCTGGCTTGACCTTGGTACATTATGACACAGGATTGGTAATCAGAACTAGGGGACTGAGGTCTCGGCTCTCTCCTTTGGACCTCGGGGAAAGAGATAATGCTGGGAGCCACTAGGAGGGGCAGATCAGGAGGGGTGACCCTGGCCGGTGACCGTCTCAGGGCTGGGAGGCTAAACCCTCGGGGCCATCCGCTCGCAGCCCATTGTGACAGCCAGTCACACTAATCCAATTCCCCTCGACACTGATTGGTTCGTTCTAGCCAATGACGTGAAGGAGGAGTTTTCAGAGTGGGAGGAGCCATGGGTAGTGTTTCCAGGTGACGCCCACCGGAGTCAGCCTCGGTTACTGAGGCCACAGTGCTGCTCCAGGGCCCTGTGGCCCTAGGGGTCCCCTTATGTCAGTCCCAAGAGAGACCTCAGGCAGAGGCTGCCTAGCAGAGTCAGCCCAAAGTGTTACAAGAAGGAAACTTCTGGAGAGAGTTTCTTTGCTTCTAACTCTGTTTCCTCTGATGTGTGTGGTCCAGACGCAGCCACTGTGGGCACCCTGGACATCCGGTGAGGGGAGGATCCACACCCCGGGGACGGCACAGGAGGAGAGGAGAGGGCAACCTCTGGAAAACTCCTCCCAGGGTGGGACGATGTCTTCTGTCTTAGCAGCAGTGTGTGAAGCCAGAACCTTCCCAGCGAGGCTGACCTGGACCCCGTGGAAGCGGCTAGGCAGGATTACGTCCATTCTAGGCTCCAGCGGCCTCAGCTGCGTCCTAGCTGCTACGTCCTCGGCCTTGGCAAGTTACTTGGCTTCCTTCTGAGTCTCAGCCTCCTCTTCTGTGAAGAGGGGAGAATAAGATTGCCGTGGGGTGGGAAAATTGAGTGGGTTCACGAACAGGACTCATCGCCCGGCGCTTCGGAGGCACAGGAATTCTAGCAGCTGTGACTGGCAGCACTGCGACAGCCCCTGCTGTTCCCTGGGCCCTGACACCTTTCCAGAAAATGAGTGGGGCTCGGGGACCAAACAGCAAGGACTCACAACCGTCCCACAGTTGCCAGCATCCTCCTGGCCCTCCGTGCCCCCAGCACATCAGGACCCCAGGTGCCCACCCTCTGCACACCTGGTTCTCCATCTGCTCGGGCAACCTTGGCTTTGAAGTTGGCTGTGCACACCACCTGCTCCCAACTGGCTTGCAGTTGAAGTCTGAAACCAACTGCAGTTTCCTCCTTGTCCCTGTGCTGTTTAACCTTCTCCCATAAACAGAAGCTTGTGTAAGAGCAGAGGGGAGAGGGCACTTGAAGAGCTCTCCTGGTTTCATTGAATTGTGCCAATAGCAGCTCTCCTGTGCGGACAGCATCCGAGGCTGCTGTACTCAAGAAGATGTGGCATCCAGCTATCACAGAAATGAAGGAAAGGGGACACAGAGCTCCTGCCTCTTCTTGCTTCATCGCGAGAGGGCAAAGTTAGTAATCACTTTAGGGTATTCCAGGAGTTTCTCGTATGTAAGAGTGCACCTCGCATGCAGCTGGATCTCAAAGTTTAAAAATCCACACATAAACTGGGCATGCATGGTGCCACAAACCTGTGATCTCAGCTATCAGGAGGCCGAGGCAGGAAGATCACAAGTTTGAGTCCTGCCTGGGCAACTTATCGAGACCCCGTCTCTAAATAATATAAGAAAGACTGGGGTTGTAGCTCAGTGTTCTCTGAGCTCCATCCCCGTTGCCCAAAACAACTAAACACAGCAACTACAAGAGGGAAACAGCAAGGCCAACTGCACGTGCCAGCGCTGTCGTGTCTGTTGTTAGGGTCGGAATGTGTTTGGGTTTGTTGATGTCGCTGATGAGCCTATTGTTAAATATTTGGACCGTTGCTCATTAGGATGACTCTTCAAACTCATAAGCAGTTCTCTATCTTTAGAAATGGAGACAGCGAGAGAGGGTTGGAAAGATGTTGGCCAAAGGTCGCAACACTCGAGTCAGAAGAAATGAGTTCAAGAGATCCACTGTGCGACGTGTGAGTGCACTTCACACTCTTTCTGTGCTTTTAGGTCCTTCCTCTGTGTGTGTGTGTGTGTGTGTGTGTGTGTGTGTAATGTGAGGGACTGAATCTGCCACAGGATCTCCCTAAGTGGCCCAGACTGGCCTCAAACTTGCAATGCTCCTGGCTTGTACTATATTCTTGACCGTTGGTCAGAGGGCAGACGGTAAGCATTCTCATCACAAAAACACAGTAAGTGTGCGAGGGAACGTGGGTGTTAACCTGCTTTGTGGAGTCCTTCTACCTCGGAGGTATATTGTGAAACCTGTTGTACATGGTAAATACAAACAAGTTTTTATTTGTCGATTAAAACCAATCCATACATTTTAAAAACAGAAGAAAAAGAGAGAGACTTGGATATAGCTTTGGGCTCTGGGGAAATCACCCCAACAGGTGGGGAAATCTATCTTTTTGAGTGTGATGTACTTGGGTGTTGTTCTCGCCACTGTGGGCACAAAGGGTGTTTGTTTAAGAAGGAAATTGATCCAGGCTTGCTCTGTGGTGCTGCTCTGCAGGGAGAGATGTGGTAAGAGCTGCTTGCAAAGGACAGGGAGGGACGAGCCTCAGTGGGAGGGCTCCTCCTCTGGGAGGTGGGTTCCCTAGCTGTGGGAAGCTGCCCATCTGCAGCCTTGGGAAGGAGGTGCGGAGGAGAGTTGGCCACCCTCCCAGGGCCACCTTTCACGGTGTCAGTGAAGAAACCTTTTCTTTTGTTGTTGTTGTTTTGGTTTTTTGAGACAGGGTCTCACAATGTAATTGAGACTGACCTGGAACTCACTATGTAGCCCAGGCTGGTCTCAGACTCACAGTGATCCTCCTGCCTCAGCCTCCGGTGTGCTGGGATTTCCAGCGTGCGCCACTACGCCCGGCGATGAAGAAACCATTTCAAGACAGAAGCCATTGTTAAATCAAGAGGAAGCACGGGTGCATAGTCTCAGGTCTGTAGTTATTTTGTGGGTGACTTTGAATTTCCTTTTCTGGGTAATCTCAGTAATCCTGGGTGATTTTCACCTTGATCAATGACTCGTGCAGTTGGAAGTGACAGAAATCGAACTCCAGTCCACTTAAGCCGAAGAGGAATGTATCAGCTCTTGAAACTGGGAAGTCTAGAAACGTGGATGGCGTCATCAGAACGGCTTGACCCAGGGGCTCAAATGTTATTGTCAGCTTTCCCCTTTTGCCTCCCTCTTAAAACATTAAAAGTAAACGAGATGGATTCATCTATGGATGAAATCATTAGATGCAAAGTTGATGAAGAGATTCACAGTGGAAAGATCACAACTGTCACCACCTAAGCCTTATTAATTTTAGTGTTCAGTTACAAGGGGGCCACCGAGAGGGGCGCACAGCAAGCCCATGGGGGTTCCCATGAAGTGTCCCCTCTGAACCCTTAATCGCTGACTCCCTCCAAGGCAGCTCTGAATGAGAATCTAGGGCATAGTTTTGGGGGTGTTCTCAGGAAGTGCTGCCAAGGGGCTGAGAAAATGAGACAGTGAGGAGAAGCCAGTTGGTAAAGCGACAGCTATCAAGAAAGTTACCGTGGTGTGCAAGGAGAGCTGAGTCCAGCTCAGGAGCTCTGAGTGGCTCAGGATCAGCCTCCCCGGAGACCCAGCAGCCGGGGCATTTACACAACAGCTCCTGAGACTGCTGCCCAAAGGCTGATCCTGAGGAGGGTGGTGGGGCCCTTTGCGCACTGACCAGGGAAACTTGGTACCTGAGAAGGCCACGCAACAATGCAATGCAGGCCTGGGGTTGGCAGCTGGCTTCCTGAGGTGCGCTGGAGCAGTACAGGTTGGGGTGGCCCAGGCAAGGTCCACCACAAATTCCTAGAGCTCTCTGCTACTTACAGGAAACACAGGGGGTGATGAACAAGGTAAGCAACACCTAAGGGCGTTATAGGGGTCGCTTCTCCAAGGTGACACGCAGCCCTTAACATGCATGCGCCCAACAGTAGAGGGTAGGACTATGAGAGGTGAAGATCCATATGAAAATGAGGAGAAACAGACAAGCCTGCTGTTGTCGTTGGAGACATCCATACCCCTCTATCAGGAATGGGTGGATCCGGCAGGCAGATCAGTGAGGCCACGGTGACACCCCCAGTCACCTGCAGGGGCTTCTCCCGGCAACAGAATGCAGGTTCTTAAACTCTCACAAGGCATCTACCAAGTGAGGATCCACGCTGGAGTAGCTTTAAGAGGATCTCGGCATATTTAAAGGATGAAAACCATAAAACATGCCTTAGGCCGCAATGGAATTAAACTTGAAATCAGTAACAGAAAGATAGTTGGAAAATTTTACAATACTTGGAGGTTAAACAAGATGCTTCACAATAACACATGAATCAAAAAAGTCTCCAGAGATATATAAAAATATTTCAACCAAATGAAAAGAAAAATATAACTTGTTGAAATTCGAAGGATGCAAGGAAATCAAAGCTTGGAGGAAAATTGGTATTGAATGTGTGTGCTGGGGAGAAAAAAAGATGTAAGATCTAAGTACCCACCTTAGGAAACTAGAAAAGGAAGAGGGAAATGAATCAAAGTAAGCAGAAGAAAAGAAAAAAATAATGTTAAAGGAGAAAGTAATGAAATTGAAAAGAGGAAATCAGCGGAGAAAAGTAAGTGAAGCCAAATCAACACCACGAGAAGCAGAGAGGAAACTTCAGAATCCAGGGCATTAATGAGGACTCTTTTCTGTTAGAAGTCAGTAGCCTGAGAAAGCAGGGAACTTTTGGGTGAAAAGATATATAGGAGGTCTGATAGCCAGAGGAAATCAGACCCTAATTAGAACAACTCACCTGGGAATTATGAGACAATCACAAACATTTGATTCTAAACTCAGCACTAGAAAAGTAAAGCACATAGCTGGGCTTGGTGGCAAATGAATGTAATCCCAGCACTCGGGAGGCTGAGGCAGGAGGATCACTGTGAGTTTGAGACCATCCTGAGCTACATAGTGAGTTCCAGGTCAGTCTCAACTACATAGTGAGACCCTGTCTCAAAAACAAAACAAAACAAAACAAAAAAAAGAAAAGAAAAGCACATTAGTTATCCACACTAATGTGCTAGTGACCGAGTGTGGAAGGGTCACATTACTTAGAAATGGTCATGGGATCTTTGTTGGGGTGAAATAGCACAGTGGGTGAGGTTTCTTTTAAGATTCTTCAGCAATTATTTTATTTCTTTCTCTCTATGTTTGTTGTTGTTGTTATGTGTGGTCTTGGGGATGGAGCCCAGGGCCTTCTGTATGCTGAGCAAGGCCTCTACCACTGAGCTGTGTCCCCAGCCTTTCTTATGTTTTGAGAAGGCTCTTGCTACATTGCCAAGCTTGGCCTCAAACTTGCAATCCTCCTGCCTCAGCCTCCCAAGTAGTTGGGATCACAGGCTTGTACCACCACACACAGCCCTAAGCAATGATTTTATATAAAAACAGGCTGGGAGTGGTGGCAGACACCTATAATCCCAGGATTTGGGAGGCTGAGGCAGGAGGATCACTGCAAATTCAAGGTTAGCCTGGGCTACATAGTGAGTTCAAAGCAAGCCTTAATGACATAGAGAGACCCTGCCTCAAAATCTGCAAATAAATCTGATCTTCCTTTGTCCTTCAGCCTTGCTTCTAATCTCTTCCTCTTCTATTTCTCTATTTTTCCTCCCAACTCCTTTTAAATCTTCTCCCCTAAGGGTAAAATTGCCATATCAAGGGCTTATTTATTGCACATAACTTTCTGGTTCACTTTAGATTCTGTTATATAACCACAAATCTAGTTCAATCAGTTAGGAATGGCAAATCAATAGTTCCCACAGTTTGTCATTTTCTAGGCTGTATTTGATGCTATTATTATCACTGATTGTACTACTTTAGCCAAGGTGACATAACTGTGCTAATCAGCTGTCCTTCCTAGTATACCACGACTGAGATTGGCTAAGGGTGTTAAAAAAAAAACAACTACAGGGCAGTGCCAAAGAACCAGTGGCTGGGCCAAGTGGGCAGTCAATTGAAGAGGGTGGACCTTGCAACAGACTGAAAACCCAAAAGCCAGGCTACACCTGGAAGACACCTCTGAGAAGGAGTTGATTTCTGAAGGGTTCTGAATACTGGCCATAAACCTATCTGCCAGGAGCAGTTTACAAGCACCAACCCAGGAATTAAACTTCTAGAAAAACAGAAAATGAGAAGACACTTAAACGAGATGTAACCCCTCCAGACCTCCAGCTCACCAAAGGCAAACCCTGGGGCAATGAAGTGGAACAACCCGAAAGCTGCCTCCCCGGACTCTCTGAAGGGGAACAGCAGAAGCCACAAAGTAGACACAATGTAGAAAAATTCAAAGCAGAAACACTTTCTCAGATAACTACAGAGGTGGTGACCAGAATGAAAGATAGGCTTAGTTACTGTAGAGCAGATACAGATTGAAGAAAATCCCCAAAATAGAGGAGCTCAGGAACATGGTGGAGGCCATGAATGCCCAGCACAGGAAAGAAATGTAATCCATGAAACATACTGAAATAGAGATCCAGGAGATTGAAATCTCCATTTAAAGTATACACAGAGCAATGAGCCAATGTAAGGAAAGAATATCGATAGAGAAGACAGGATTGTGGTTAGGGATCATAAAAAGGAAGATCTTTTAAAAATAGCAAGGGATCATGAGAAATCAGTCCAGCAGCTACTAAATGATGCAAAGAAGAAAAATGTAAGATTGATAGGAGTCAGTAAAAAAGCAGGAGATAGGACAAATGACATAAAAAACCTGTTCACAGAAGTAACAGCAGAAAACTTCCCAAACAGAGAAAAAGAATTTGACATACAGATAAGTGAGACATATAGAACTCCAATTTGCCATGATAAAAAAAAAAACTTTCCCAAGGCATATAATAGTCAAGATTCCAGAAATTCAACACAAGGACAGAATAGTAAAAGCTGTAGGAAACAAATCTTCTGTAAAGGAAAGCCCATCAGAATGGTAGCAGAGTTCTTCTCAAACCTCGAGTCAAGGAGAGTTTAGAGTGAGGTATTTCAAGCCTTAAAGGAAAACAACCTCCAACCCAGATAGATGTATCCCACGAAATCATCTTTCAAATTTGATGGAAAAATAAGACACTTCGATGACAAAAAACACCCAGAGAAACTCCTGATCACCAAACCAGCACACCAAGGTGCTCTGAAAGATACTCATGAAAGAGATAACAAGGATTACAACTCCATGAACCCCGATAGAATGAATCCATTAGCCAAGGCAAGAAATTAAACAGAAGAGGAAAGAAGGGAGCCAATAACAGGAAAATAACATGAGAGGGATGTCAATACGTATCAGTTATAACCATCACTGTTAATGGTCTCAGCTCACTAATGAAACAGGCAGGCAGAATAGATCAAGAAGCAAGATAGAACAACATGCTGCATGCAAGGAACACGTTTAATTAAAAAAGAAATCCATACACTGAAAAATCAAAGGACCGAATCGGGAGGCTGAGGCAGGAGGATCACTATGAGTTGAGACCAGCCTGGACTACATAGTGAGTTCCAGATCAGTCTCAACTACATAGTGAGACCCTGTCTCAAAAAACAACAACAAAAAACAAAACAAAAAAAAAATCAAAGGACAGAAAACAGGCCGGGCGTGGTGGCGCATGCCTGTAATCCCAGCACTCAGGAGGCTGAGGCAAGAGGATTGCTGTGAGTTCGAGACCAGCCTGGGCTACATACTGAGTTCCAGGTCAACCTTAACTACATAGTGAGACCCTGTCTCAAACAAACAACAACAACAAAAGAATGGAAAATAATATTCCAGGCAACAGGATCCCAGAAAAAAGCCAGGGTAGCTATTTTATTTGTAGACAATATGGATTTCAAGCCACGACTGATTAAGAGACACAAAGAAGGTCCTACATCCTGGTAAAGGGAACAATCCAAAAGTAAGAGATAACAATCATAAATATATGTGCACCAAGTAGCAGCACACCTAACTATATAAAACAAATACTAGCAGACTTGAAAAATCGAACAAGCACAATACAGTTGTAATGGGAAACCTCAATACCCTGCTGTTACAGACAGATCAACTAGACAAAAAAATCAACAATGAAGTACTAGAACCAAACTTTTGAAAAAATGGCTTTAGCAGATGTCCCCACAACATCAGAATCCACATTCTTCTCAGCTATACCAGGGCATTCTCCAAAATGGACCACATACTAGCTCATAGAACAT